GGCTTGTTTTACAACGTCGTTGCCAAGCGACGAAAACCCAACCCCGATGGCAAACACGGGGTCGTCTCTCGCATACGCACCTTTGCTATTTTTTGTGACTATCAGCTCGATTATGTGTGTGTGTACTTTAGATTTCGAGTCCTCACCCTCCGCCACGGAAAAGACACTACACACAAGAATGGCAGATGACGTATGCATAGCTTACACGAGTAGTCTAGGGTGTTCACCGCCGACAACCATACTGTACTGCGACCATCCTTGTAGCGAATCAAATGGGAGAGGTTGTAGCTTAAAGAATCGAGCCAAACGCTACTGTACCCAGAGCGATTGGCAGGGATCGTTAAACATGCAGCAGAACGAAAGAAACACGACCAAACCTGAAGACGGGATGCCGTGGTCGTCATAATGTGGAACGGGTTCGGAGAGAAACGGATGGATGCATCTACGGGCGATGCACCCTCTTACGGGATACAAGGAGGACGCCCCGAACTTTTTCAGAAATAAGACGGGCCTGTGGCGCTAAGACAGAGCAAGTGGGTAGCGGGGAACCGAAACATCGTGCGACGAGCTGAAACACGAAGCAAGCAGGGATGTAACCGTGAATTTCTCAGCGGAAGGTCTGTTTGTTTACCCCTTGAAGAGGGCTGGCTGGGGAAGAAGACGATGAGTTGACCACCTCACGTGGCATGGCCGACAAGGTAAAACTGTGAAACTCGCGGAGATGAAGGAAGCGCGTAACGTGTAAGGAAACAGAAGCGCTCTAGGAAACAGGCTAGGAAAATTGACGGATGTGTCAAAGGGAGATTATCCGGAAACGAGAGAACGACCACCGACTACGGGGAGGACACCGAAAGGAAGGGGATCGAATGAGACAGAATTCCTTGAGTGTGGCAGGAACGCATGCATACGACGACGAGCCCCGGCTGCTGCCTGCCTGTTGGTCATGTCTTCACGAGGACTTGACGTTGCTCGTTCTCGAAAGGGGTGTCGCGTAGTCGATAGTCACGTGGCGCTCAAGGCGAATACTCATTGAGTACGCCCCCGCCCCCCACCCCCGCCCCGTCCAACACACGCGGTGCCGCTTGCCTCAGGGTTTCGTGTTGTTGGCATCGGGTGACACCCTCTTCCAGGTGCTGGAGCAGGGCTGGCAAAAGGTGGTGAGTGAACACTTTTTTGGCGTGCACCGTAGAAGAGCAGCAGTAGCCCGACCACGCTTACAACGGCGAGGGAGGATAGAACCGCCCCAGAGTCGTTGTGGGGTGGTGCTGTTACCGTTGTGTGCTCTCTCGGAATGGAAATCCGTTCGGCTGGGCGAATGTACATGTTGAAGCATTTTCTCGAACGGGTAGTCTCTCTTTGATTGCATGCAGATTTTCTACTAACAGCATCTGGTCGCTGTGGGCCCCTTTCCGTTCGGCATGAAAACTAAAAACGCCTGCGCGGTTGTACAACACTGGCGGC